ATCCATGATTGTTTTCGTTCCAGAGCTAACCAGGCACAAACCGCCAAGAACAGGAAAAGGTTAGCTCTGCCCGCCATGAGCCGCCGTTCTGATGATTCAAATTTGTCGATCACTGAAAAGATGAACGTGCGGGCTCTCAAGTCGGCCGGTTTAAAGACCGTGCCCCAACAAAGCAACATGTCGGAGTGGCTTGCTTTTCGGAAGTGCCTTGATGTTCAGGGGGATAGGCACGCAGGGTGGGAGGACATCTTTTCTACGGTCCTCGCTTCGTCAACGATCCTGGCGCAAGGCAACAGGACAGAAGACCTTGAGCTTGCCGCAGGATTCATGCAATGCTTCACTGCGCAATCCATGGCAACTGACGCCCTGACAAATGTGCCGTGGGCAAAGGAGATCCGCCATCTGTCCGAGCTTGAGCATGACTCGCTGTGGGATCTGAACTTGCCTACTGAGTACGTCCCTGGGACATCAAGGCCGGCGGTAGACGTCGTGCCCACCATCTACGTGGTGACTTCCGATTCAACTTTGGCTCTGATCACTGGAAAGGGTAAGACTTTGAAGAAGTACACCTTGAAGGAGGATCTGGGATTGCGAAAGTCGGACATGGTTCTCGAAATCGGTCATGACATGCTCTGGGGTAAGGATTTGCAACAGCTCTGCAAAGCAAATATTTCCATGATCAAGGAGCTGATGGCGAAATATTCTTCTCATGGATCAGCCTTCAGGGTTATTTCGGTAATCTTTTGGTCTGGGAATGAAATTTGTGGGGAATATGGTGTTGAACCCCTTCCCATTTGGGGGCAGAGGGAACCACAGGGCGACTGGAATGCCATCATGGACAGGGTCAAGGGCAACATCGTGTGGTGGAACAATCAGCTCAAAGAATTGGGAGTGGATCAGGCCGCCCTAATCGGCGAGCCCGACCCGCTCACTTATGGATTGAGTCTCATCTTCACCACATTTGTGGAGCGACTGAAGGAATGGTTCCACAAGGAGATTGCCAGTGACAACGATCGGATCCGGTGGATTCAGAATGACAGGCTTCCACCAAGGCTTGAGCTCAGGGACTACTTTCACGCATTCGAGACCGAGCTCAACCGAAGTGAGATGATCGGATATGTCATGGCAACTCTCCACATGTTGCACATGACGGACATCTTGGTGCCCCAGTACAACCTGTCTTTGTACAAGCGCAGGCGTCCTGCAGGAGAGGCTACAATGCGTGACGTCCCACCAAAGATGGAGCACCTCCCAGTCAGATTTGTGCAGGTCCTCAACGCTCTCCGGGAGAAGACGAACAAATCTGCACCGAGCGTCTCAACCCCAGAAAGCTTCACAGCAGAGGAGTTGAGAGATCGCCCGACTGACGCTGGTGTCGCTGAAGATGATGATGAGGAAGGCGACCCATGGGATGCTCTGGATCCCGATGAGCATGAGGGCCCATCGGTGGGCAAAGCGAAGGCCAGCCACGCAACTCCACCTGACCCCAAGGCGAAAGCTCCAGCGACACAGGAGGATTCAACTCAGGCCACCTCAACTGGTGAGCCCCTGCAAGAGAACGAGGTCAAGGGTACTATCATCCCGAAACATGCACTTGGACACCTTGACAAATATCGTATCACGTTGGACGAAAACATCAATGCAGAAGTAGTTGAACATTGTGTCGTTGATTCCCATCCCTACGAATTGATCACCAAAACCTGTTGGGAGATGGATGGGGCAAAGGAGCTGAGGTACCCAGATCGCATGGACCGACACAAGACCAAGGTCAATGCTGTGACGCGTGGACAGCCGGGTCAGCCATGAGCAATGAGCACCCATGAATGTTCATGGAAGCGTCATGTGTTCGAATAAAAAATCAGCTGGCAATTTACATGTTGAACCACATGTCTCACAGTTTTAAACTCTTATGTTTGGTTTTTTGTTATTCAAGTTTTTGGTGTAAATCGTTTTTTTGAACATTATTTCTTTGTTTATGTGTTATGTACTGTTGTTTTGTCCTGTGTTGGCTTTGCACCCCAGGAAGCAATCCATTGTTGCAAAACATGGTTTTTGACACATATATCTCATATATATGTGTGTGTAGGGGTGTCTCAAAATGAGGTGTCCTTTTTTCCTCGTAAAGCAACCGTTTTGGAACCAAAAAAGGACACCTCATGTTGAGACATACCCAGGTGGGTGTGTGTGTGCATATATATATATATGGATTCGATGAAAACATGTGGCTTGATCTTGATGACTTCTTTCGAATGTTCAACCAAATGCTGCCAGCCAAGTTGCCCCGAATGACAGTTGAAGAGCTCATTTCCCTTCTCTACTGGGACAGCAAGTGCCGTTTTGAGTTCCAGTGCATTGCCGGGTACCAGAAGGCAACCCGTAAAGGGTTAGCCTACTGGCCCATCAGGATCCGTGCAGTGCAGGGGCACACAAAACGTGCCATGGATGCCGCCTCGGCTGAGGACACGTTCAATGCAGTGGAAATCTATGCTCTGTCTGGAGCAGCAGCGATCCAGAAAATGAACGCCAAAGGTAAAAAGATTACCACTCCTCAGATGTGCCCTGGCGTAGTTTATCACAGGACTACAAAAGGCAATTGGAAGGGCATCATTGAGAATGGCTTCTTGGCTGGAGGAGGAGAACGAAATTCATCAGGCAGAGCACACTCCTATTTTAGCGAAGTGCGTGTCGACGAGAAAGAGTATGTGAGCGGTTTGCGTGCTGAACGACCCATTGAAATCAGGGTCGCAATGGCTGAAGCTGTCAAAGCTGGAATTGTGTTTTTCAGGACAGCCTCCGACGGCATTCTTACAAGTGACGTCGTCCCGCCGCAATACATTATTTCTGTCGATGACACTGCCAAGAAGGTGAATTTGTATCGTCGCCATCAGGAGGTCGCACAGTCTGCAGCGAGCAGTGGGGGAGAAGTTGGAGTCCAGAAGCTTGTCGAGACCTTTGAGGCCAAGGCATCAACACGGGCAAATTTCCAAGTCTCCAGCCGCCTCAACTGGCGCGCCCACTGCAACGGCATTTTTCCCAGGAAAGGTGAAGCCTCCGCCACCAAATGTGGCCCAACTTGCCGGTATGCCTGGATATGCAAGCAGCAGATTGTTGCCCCCTCCTCCGAAGGGTGAAGCTCCAAAGCCTCCTGCAGCAAAGGTTGAAAGCCCAAAGACACCGCCGAAAGTACCTCCAAAACCATCACCGAAGGAAGGGACTTCTGCACCTCATGCACCAGAAGTTCCAAAAGCTGTGACCTCAGAAGTTGATGCAGCAGCAAAGGATGAACCTGCAAAGAAGAAGGCAGCCCTGACAAGCGTGCCCGCAGCTGTGCCTGCGGCATCATCAGCTGCGGCCTTCTTGGAGCCTGTATCAAAAGTTGCACCGCCAAAGGCAGTACAGAAAGATCCAAAAGCTCCAGTTGCAGAGTCACCCAAAAAGACGCCGGCATCAACATCCAAGTCACTGGTGCCAAAGCAGAAGTCTCGCCCTAAAGGCGATGACCAACCTTCGAAGAAAGAGGTGAAGAAGGAGGACAAGAAGCCGGTGCCGGTCAAGATTGAAGTCACGCAATGTTCAAGATGTTTTGCACAGACTTTCAAGGGACAGATTGAATGCGATGTGTGTGGATTGATGCTCGAAGGGGTGAACAAGGCCGACCGAACCAAGATTGCAGAACGCAGGAAGGCCGCCCTTCACAAGCTGGGCTTGTACTATGACTTTCGTGGCGAGTACCTGCAGAGCATCACACACAGTCAGCTTGAATCTTTGGGTTTGTTGGACGACCAGGCAAGAGGAAGCTCGAGTCCTGAAGCCAGTCTATTGGCAAGGGCGAAGAGTCGATTCGAATCGCGCCTTGAGCTTGGGCTATGTGTCTGTGGCTGACAGGTTTGCCCAGGACGCCACATTCGCAGAGAGCGTGCTGAACGAGGGGGAGAACGAGTACGATTGTGAACGGTACGACCTCCTCAAGTCTGCACATCTGCCGAAGCCAGGTCGTACCAAGGCTCAGGTCAAGATGGGTGTTTCTGAGCAATCTCAGCTGGAGCACAATGCTATGAGGCTGGTTTACTTGGATATGGCAAGCCGTCTTGACGTCCCGAAGTCGTTCAGGTACATCGACCAGCCATGGTTCTACATGTGCCGGACGGAAATCTACTCCGAGGAAGAGTACATTGACTACCTGAACCGGGATCCCCAGCACAACCTTTTGTTGTCTTGTACTGGCGTTGACAACATCGCTGTTCATGATGCTGAACGTCATTTGAGGTGGATTAAGGGACAAAACGAGGAGCTGTACAAGCAGAACGCTGCGGAAAAGAAGAAACAGTCTGACAGGGCTCGCGAACAGAACGAGGCCAAGCGCAAAGCTGAGCAGACTGGTGCGTACGGCCAGGGTCCCTCCAAGAAAGGCACCGCCAAACCGGTTGCCCGAACATCCACCGTAGAGGTAGCTTCATCATCAACGTCTGCAAGTCAGTGGATCAACCGCTCTCAGCAAAGTCAGTCCCACGATGATCGCCGTTACACTGGAGAATGGCAGAAGTGGCATGGGCGCTGGTACGAGAAAGTCATCAGGCATGGCCGAGTTGAGTGGGAAGAGGGATAAGTTGTGAAACTGCTTGCATCGACGATCGGTTTTTGTATCATAGCCGCTGTTTGTGTTTTCCCTTGGGTTTGCAAAGAGCCAGTTCGGTGAGGCAGGTTTAAAAACCTCGCCCGGGATTGTGGCATCCTCGCCGTAACCGGCTCACCTGAGGGGGGTGTAAAAGCACCTCACATAAAACACACATGTATCATAGGAATGTATGACAGCTGCGCGGCTCAAACGGAAAAGGTGCTGTTAGAGCTGCTTTGCTTAACGGATTTTAGGTTTATCAGTCTACTTGGGATTATAAGATAACCCCTGCTGAAACCTGAAAATACACTTTTAGGCCATAAGACATCGTTTAACACCCAATCTGTGTGTAACCAACCCATCATCTTTGCTCGCTGCTGTTCAGGTGGCATCCTTTTTCACCTGGTCTGGCAGCATCTGTGACTTCGTGGCCAGCGACCCCAGATTTCTGTCTTCCCACTCCACTGCGACGCTGGCCATTGTTCTCGTCAGGTGCTTCTGGATTAAATATCTTAAGATTCGTAAATGGCATAAATGGTTATATAGAAGGCGCATTTATATAAGATGCTATATCATATATCTATATCTACTTAATTATGAATCATCATGAGAGTTAGTAGATGGCTTGTTTTTCCTGGATTGTAACATGCTATTTAAACCATACTGTACCTGATTTATCGGCATCTGCCTCTCGGCGCCTGCCTAGTGACTTACTTAGTGGACCTCCAGTGATCCATCCCATGCAGCTCATGTTTTGCCGTGACGCCGTTGACTGGGGTAGTTTTGATTGTTTTGCCTAACTTGAGAATCTGACAAAAACATCAATTATATTCAATTTCAAGATGAAAATCGTTGATGATGTTTTTTTTTTATTTATATATATATATATTATATAAATAAATAGATTGATATATATATATATATATTATATATATGCATACGCAGGCTTGTACCGGTCATAGGTGCGTGAAATGTCAAGCATACCTTCCCCTGCCCTACCCACAAGAGACGCTTAACCAAGGAGATTGATTCTCGAGAAGAACATGATGGTGTCCTTTTCGCTTTATACCCTTTTGTTGATGGCAGCTTGGGCTAGGACGAAGGTGCCAGCTGTAGCGAGCCGTTCCCTCCAATTATCCATTATAAATTAGTCATATGATAGTAATAAGTTTTGACCCATCCCTAGCTCACCATGATAATCTTTGAAGAATCTACATAATATATATATATTATGTATATATATATACCTTTACACACACATATCCATATGTATATATATATATATATATCCATATATATATATCATATCCATATATATGTATATATATATATATATGGTACCCCCCCCCAAGACCTACCAATTTCACAAAAGTACTGGTATTTACAGTAAAATTTGCTATTTTTGGTATGTAATTTTGGATTCCGGGATTTGGGGGATGTTATATAGTGTATATATACATATATATATATATATATATATATATCGCAAGGCAAGGCCATCATGACATTGACACCAGAGCCTGACATCAAAGTGACCATGACTCGACCGTCAACATCTCAGCTCCTGGAAAAAATCGGAGCAGGAACAGTCAAGGTTCATGACAGCCGCCATCCAGTTGCAAAGAGAGACCTGACGACTATGATGGGCACGATTCAAAGGCAACTGCGCCTGCGTCCGGGAGGTGATGGTGAATGGAGCGCAGATGCCCAGCAGCGCTTAGAAAACTTACTGGCCAATCCGAAAAGGAGCACTGCAACTGTGCAATTGGCCTTGGAAGATGTGAAGCCATCATCCTCCAGTTCCACTTTGGAAGAGAAGAAGCCAGCATCCTCGTCTTCCACATCCGATTCCGATTCGGATTCATCATCTTCCGAAGGTCCACAACATCAGGCAGATGCTGAACTCGAGAAGAAAAGCAAGGAAGTGATCAAATGGAAAGAGGAGTTTGAGGGGATTTTCTCGGCATTGCATCACACCTCTTGCGAGCTTGCGAAGGCAACCGCTCAGATTGAGGAGCAGAATGAGATCATCGCAGGGCTGTCTCAGGAAAATGCCGCTTCGCGGCGCCGGCTACAGCCGGAAAACGCCGCGGATATCCCTATGGATATGGATGAATCTTTGGCTGCTGAAGCTTCGTCTCCTGACTCTTCTGATCATGAAATGGCATCCGATTGATGTCGCTGAGACAAGGGCATGCGGGTTGAAAAAGATGTATCTCTCATTGTGTCCGCTTGATGCACACTGAAAAGAAAAGCAGTCTGGCACTAGAGCCTTGAGCCTTAGCATTATATGTATACATACTTAGAGATATGTCCTTGGCATGCACGTGTGGCAGCGAAAGTACTTGGGAAGGTCTGATTGTTTTGAACATGCTGGCAGTTGACATTCAACATTCAATTCATGTGTGGATTCTTGTCACTCTCGTATTTCTTCTCTGCTGTGTCACATGAGCCCAAACCTGTCCGCCCCAGTCTTGTCTTGTGCACCGCGCCGTGCTCCCCTTTGATTGCAATGGCTGGAACATTGATGGATAAGGCAATCCAAGCATTGGAAAGAAACCGTTATATCTACGACCCTTGGAAGAAGCCAAATGTGGGATTGTCGAAGTGGAAGAGCCCATCACATGCATTGGATTCACCACTGATGCGTGCAGACCTTTGCAAAAGGGTGTGAAATCCATTACAGTTCTCTTTGATTTCCACAATGACATACCCTCATGTGGCGAACCAGTCGACATTGGCCAGATCGCTATGCAATATCGATGGGATGATTTACCTGAACCCATCCGTTTCAAAGGCACTCCTCCGAGTACAACCAAAATGGACTTCGTGCATGTGACCATGGCGAATGGAAACGTAGATGTTCTCAAAGTGCTCTATCTGCCACGTCCGATGTCCTTTCAAGCTGCCGAAGCTTTGTGCAGTGGGAAAGCTTATATTCCAGTCTTTAGATCGGGGCCCTGGAACATCAAAAAGGGAGTGCAGTGGCTTCTCAATCATTTAGGAGGGTATCAACTTAGATGGTTTGCCCTTGAAGAGAAGACCCAGGCGGAGCATTCCTCAAAACCTACCTGGTCACCATCAAGGTCTGAGCTGGAAGAAGGCATCTACCATATCAATGCATTTGCCCCAGAATGTGACGCTCTCAACGAGCAAACACATGTGGATCCTGCTCAACATCAAGCCTGACTCAAGCACACCTATTGCAGGATGGCCGGAGGCGAAGGTACGGCAAATGTGCCAAAACAAAAGCAAGGGGCTTGGAGGTGCTGTGAGTATGACCGAGTTTCCCCTCACAACCTATAGCCTGAAGCCATTCTTGCACACTATCTTGCTACCATACTTGTATCCACTGCTCATCAACTTTGGCCTCTTGCTGCTGGGTTGTCCTGGTGTGGGGAAAACGCCCTTTGTGATCACTCTGGCAATGGCGCTTGGTCGTTACCACTTTCGTCGATCTGGATGTGAAGGCCTGAAGGCTGGTTGGCGCCGAGCCAAATCCCTGGACAACTTCAGGCACAAAGCCCCTCAGGTTCAAGAGGCTCTCTTTCTAGACGACCCCGATCGAAGCAAGGTGTGCATAGCCGACCTGAAGAGTTTCCTTACATGTGATGAGGATGGAACGGTTGAGTCCAGGTACAACGATACCAAGATGTTACGGAATCAAATGAGGGCCTATGCGTCCAATGACTTGGCAGAAGAAAGATTTGATTGCAATGCGGGTGACACAGTGATTTCTGAAGCCAACTTCTTTAGCTTGCTTGATGAATTCTTCCGCGGTGACAGAGAGAAAGATGTCTTGGCAGTACTGAAACGCTCCATTGTCTTCATGTTCGGCAACCACGCTCTCTACCTTCGTTTGCCAAGTGCACATAGAGATGCCATTGTGCATCGGATTTGCCTGGAGGACGTGCATCTTGACTTGCTAGGTGAGCGGGACAAACCTTTGTATGGAAAGTACAAGGGAGGTACGATGGAGACTGGATCAAACTTTGATGCAGAGATTCTCCAGGAACAGGAAATCTTGGAGGAAGGATTTCAGAAGATTGCAGGATATGAAAACCTGCAGGATTATGTTGCTTATGTGAACCACAAGCTTCAGGACAAACTTCTTTTCCGCAGTGCCCATGTTGTGCCACCATCATCCTGCCCTTCTACTCCAGAAGCCAATATGGATGTGGTCTGCCCTGTGCCTCCCATTGGCACTCAACCCTCGGGGCGTCGCCGTGGCAATTTCGTCTATCCCGATCGTCGACTACGGGCCAAGACTTCTCCACCACCATCGCAGCACATTGAGGAGTTGGCTGAGGATGCAGAAGCTGCATACCAAGATCCCATGGAAGCGAAGCCTGAGGAACCGAAGAGTATGGATTTAGAGGCTGATGAAGAGGCAGCCCACTACATGGGACTGAATGGCATGTAGACAAGTAGCCTATAATTCGAATGCAGTAGATTCGTACAATAGCAAGATAGACTTGCGAAGTCGTGTCCGAGGGGAGAAGAAAAAAAGGAACATAGCCATCGCACGAAAAGGTTATGTTGTCGGTGTTGTGCAATCAAGGTCCGCTGTCTCCATCGAAGCACAAGTAATTGCAAGCGAAGCGAGCATCCATTCATGCATATTGCACTGCAGCATACAGCTCAACTCTTGTGTTCCATATAGCCATCACTCAAGGCCATTGCGCTATGCGTTCCAAATTCAATCCATTCCCGGCACCAAAGAAGGGCAACCCCCGTATGGTCTTGAAACACCCAGCTTCTCAGAAGACGAAGGCAAAGTCTTGGCAGAATGTACCGTATACAAGGGGTGCTGCGGATGTTGGTCCGCGGGGTCTTCGCATGGACCAGACAAAGTGGAAGAGGTCCTTGCCAGACATCCTCCATGCGACCGACAAGGGGATCGTGCAGATGTTGATGCAGGATGGCTTGTTGCCTGATTGGCGTGGCAAAACTTGTCCTCGGTGTGAGAAGGGAAAGCTACGCGGTTGGGTGCAGAAGCCTGGTGACTCATCCCCTAAGCTTCGCTGCAATTCCAGGGGGTGCCAGGTCTACTTCAATCCGCATCACTTGCACCATCTGTTTACAGAAGGTTATGGTGTGGCAGGTAGCCCCTTGCAGACTCAGGCTGCCCTATTACTTCTCAAAATCAACAACATTCCAAACTCCACCATCCACAGGCTCATGCATGTGAATCACAAGGCCATCGAGGACTTGGACAAGCGATTGGCTTTACTACGCAAGGAGTATGTGGAGGAGAAGGAGAAAGAGATTGTCTTCGGCAACGGAGCAGCGTGGCAGGATGTCGACGCAGACGAAACTACATTCGACAAGAAGACTATCACTGATGTGTCAGAGCTGGGCAACACCAAGAAGCCAATTGAGTGGGAACAATGGTGTGGTATTGTTCAGCGAGGGAAGCCGGAGTCGTTGGTCTTGCATCGTCTGAAGCCTGTTCGTACAGATGCACGTGCACCGGGACCCGGTGCAGTACGCAAAGTCGAGTGGCGTCCCCTTGCTGACCATTGGCTGAAGAACAGAAAGGTTGTGTTGCACACGGATTCTGCCAAGAGTTATAGGGTCCGTGTTGCAGGGGTGTTGCACGATCGAGTAGTCCATTGCAAAAAACGCGTGAAAGTACGCGGCAAATGGAAATGGCAGGCGCCACGATATGTCAAAGTAGTGGAACACAAGCTTCCAGGCACAAATAAAAAGATCCGTGTGAAAGCTGGCACCCAAGTGATTGACCGCTGCTGGCGTTTCTTAAAGGAGCGTCTCAGCCTTAATCAAAATACAAAAGCCGGGTCGAGCCTGCTGAGATCCAAACTCCGATCTGCTCAGTATCAGTATTGGTACAAAAATGCAGACATGGGTGGCGACCGGATCTCTGTGCCAATGGGCCGCAAAGCGCCTTATGGGCAAGAAGTGAGCCGTAGAGCTTTGGGGAAAAATGCATTGCAATATATTGCTTCGGGTCTTCCGTGTTCACAATCGTGCCGAAAGCTTCTTTTTGATCCAATTTCTGCCAGGTCTTCTTCATGGAATATGTCTCGATTGGTGTCTCGTTGTTCCTCGGTCCAATTGAGTTATGCGCTATGATAATGCTACACATGGGCTCATGCATCCAAAGCAATACATTCTCTGTCCTTTCCCACCCACCCAGGTGCTCTCAGTGTTCATGCACCTACGTGGTCAGTTTCTTCACATGTGCTATGCTACAGCTACATATGTGGGCAAGATGTGTCCAGGTGCATGCGTACAAGCTACTTTCCTGATGCAGCGTTACAATAGGTGAGAAGATAAGGAGAAAGACAAGGCAGCCAAGGACATATCTGGTACACAAAATGTCTCGTGTCTTGTTTGTCCTTTCCCACCCACCCAGGTGCTCTCAGTGTTCATGCACCTACGTGGTCAGTTTCTTCACATGTGCTATGATGTTTCCAGGTGCATGCGCATAAGCTACTTTCCTGATGCAGTGTTGCGATAGGTGAGAAGATGAGAAGAAAGACAAGGCAGCCAAGGACATATCTGGTACACAAAATGTCTAGTGTATTGCTTGTCCTTTCCCACCCACCCAGGTGCTCTCAGCGTTCATGCACCTACGTGGTCAGTTTCTTCACATGTGCTATGCTACAGCTACATATGTGGGCGAGATGTGTCCAGGTGCATGCGCATAAGCTACTTTCCTGATGCAGTGTTGCAATAGGTGAGAAGATGAGAAGAAAGACAAGGCAGCCAAGGACATACCTAATACAAAAAATGTAGGTCTTGGGGGGGGGTAGCATATATATATATATATATGGTCAGATGATGGTTTCGGATGTCAGCTGCAGAGCTCGGAAAGCTGCTCCAAGGTCTCCGTCCTGAGCCTCAGAGACTTGGCATATGGGGATTTCATGGGGATATCATGGGGATATCAGCGGGTAAATCACATGTTTTTCATGGGTAAATATGGGCAAATCACATGTAAACTAACATAGCTAAGGAAAATCATCAGTTTTGATGGGTAAATCCACTACAAATGGCCATTTTCAATAGCTATGTTAGTTTACCAGAGGGTAAATCACATGGCAATGTAGAAAATCACATGGGGATGATTAACCATCCATTCACCAGCCATGGCTATCCGGGTACCATCTCTTTAACCAAGCAGGGAGTTGCTGCTAGGAGGTGATCAGCAAGGATTTTAAAACTGATATATGGGTGATATGAATGGGATATATGGGTGATCAGCAAGGGATGTACATAGTGGATAGGTATCCTGTTAGTGGGAATGGTTTTGAGCTATCCATGTTCGAAAAATGGGGGGGAGCTACTCAGAGTTTCCCAACACATGATGGATTGATAGGGAACTATAGTTTTTGGACATGGTTCACATGTTGGATTCTGGATTCAAAGGCCATATCTGTTGATGCTAGATGTTTTTAGCATGATGTCTGAGCCAACCTACCTTGGAGGTTTGTGAGCTGGGGAAATCAACTCTTAATGGGTGTATGACCCCAGATGCGCTGAGTCCAGAATTTCCACTAAAACTGGTGAATCGATTCAGGGAAAAGTCAGGTTTTGTTTAATGTTTTTGTTGATGTCTTGTGGGGAGGTTCCTGAATGGCAAATCCAAGATTTTTTTAGCTACCCCAGGTCACCTCACCTTAGGAAAGGGCTTGTACAAATATCAGATCACGCAGTACACCTGGACAGTGGTGACGATCTGCATCGTGGTCTTCCAAACCCAGGATCCGGATGGATCGGGGCGTCGCCAGTCACAAGCCCCTCTGGTAGTTTTTCATATAGCTATGAAGCTATGGAAAACACCATTTTTTTATAGGGTAGGGTATATAACTGATCATCAATTGGCCATTGTCCATAGCTGAAATATGCTGAAATAACTGTCCGGTAGTCACTCCTGCGAATCATCTAGTTTTGTCACTCCGCAACAAAACTGGTCACTGGTCATTCTCCCAAAAGTCAGCATTCGAATTTTTAAAAAAAATGGTGCTGTGCCATTCGCAAAAATCCTGATGTAGCTTGCTCATATTTGCTCATCACTTGGGATGATCCAGTCAAGTTCCTGTCCACGCAGGCGGTGTTTCATCTCATCTACGCGGGGTTGTTCTGGTTCGTTCTTCCATCATCGCTGGTAATTTGCAATGATATCATGGCCTACTACTGCGGTCAGGCGTGCTGGATCTGGTTGATCAACGGTTGATCTGGTGCTTTAAGGGGGGATGATCCCAACTCACACCTGACATTTTTCAGGGGTACCAGGTCGTTTTTAGTGAAGATGGCCAGCTGAAATGTACTACGCCTTGAGGCAAATGCCTTTACTAAGGACTAAGTACACGATTTGATAGCTGCAAAAGTCAGAAAGATCAGCGGCTGCAGCCAATGGAATATTCGAAATATATTCGATAGGAGTGTCCTCCAATTCGTCCCAACGCCTTTTGCAACTGAATTGTTGACTGGGCTGGTTTCTCAATTGTTGACTGGGCTGGTTTCAGAGCTGCATGTCAACCCCACCCCCAAATCAGTGGACAATCCCCACAATTCTCAAACATAGACATATCATCCATCCATACACCTGTGTCTTTCAAGTTTGTGGCATGTTTTTTCTCCCATATAATTAATATATATATATACTGTACATATTAAATATAATTATATATATATGATTATATATGTAGAGAGCAGGTTTTGAAGCCAAGTGTCCGAACAACATGCCCTTTTGGCCGCCTGCAGGTCTTCGGTAAGAAGTTGATCAAGCGAAGATTCCTGGAACTGTCGCCCAACAAGACCTGGGAAGGCTTTCTGGGGCGCCTCGGTTTGCGTCGTTTTTCAGTTTGGGAGGTGCAACCGCGCAACCACTGATCTCCGAAAAATGTCATGAAGAATTGCATGATAAATCACTGGTTGGTGCTTTGGAACCATGGAATTTTCCTGGTTAATCTATGGTTAATCTATGGTTAATAATGGTTAATAATTGGAATAATAATATACTGTATCTGGTTGGTGGTTTGGAACATGAATTTTATTTTCCCATCATATTGGGAATGTCATATTCCCAACTGACTTTCACTCTATCATTTTTCAGAGGGGTAGGCTCAACCACCAACCAGAAAATCATGACCATCATTTGTGTTGCCTAAATGATCTTAAATCACCATCTTCATCATCCCAGTTCGCAGCAATGTGTGTGCCAGTGATTCCAGTGCGATTCGCAGCTCGTCGCTCAGGAGCGCGTTCTTTACCATGCTTTTCGCCTTTTGGTTCTCAAGATGCTGGGCTTTACCATGCGGAGGGCGTGTGATAGATGTTCGTATACAGGATGTGGGCAGGATAAAGCCCCAAAGAGATGCACCCGATACTATTGAAATCTATGAAATACGTTTCTTTGCCACTCATATCCAGGTTTTTGATGGTTCTTGTGGGTTACAAAAGGCTATCTTCTGGGCTTTGCGAACAACTGGCGCTTAGCTTTTGGGGTTTGCGAACCTGGCGCACTCCACTGGGCCATGGTTTGGGTGAACGGTTTCGGTGGGTTAGAAAGACTGACAGTTGTATACTGGTTATTGATGGTGTTCTATTGGTAAGATTACCTTAATTCAGTAAATATATTTAGTAAGTGATGGTAATATGGTAATCGGTGGGGTGGTAAGACTTACCAAACCATAATCAATAATTCGGTGTTTTATGAACAATCACTTATGATCACAGCATGCATGATTGGCCTGGGGTAATTTGAACCGTTGCTCCCATTGGCACTTGCAAAGGTGCTTTCAGTTCCTTCTCTTTCACGGACCACATCTCCCTACTCCTTGTTGGCGATATGTAAATCATTATGATATTGATTATTATTGCACACACATAATATATATATATATATGTATATATATATATTGTGTGGGTGGCAACCCCTAAAGCTTGAACACCAACTTTTGCTATATATAAAATATATATTTTACAATCCCATACCTATGCATTTAATGTATTTCTAGTAGCTTCCCCATTTATAGCGCAGAAAAATTACCCCGCGTCGTTTTTCAGGACATCTCTGTGGTTACAAGTGGATGACCTGTGCTCCCGAGCACATCACCTTCACGGTGTCTCCCTTGAGCTGCGAACCGGATCAGATGTATCGACCGCAGAGCATCGCGCAGATCCTCTACGTCACCTGGATGCGGCGACGCGTGAAAACCGTGGAGGGATGGAGGGGTGGAGTGAAGCGTAAATGATATGGGGACCTAGGGCAAGACATAGAAAAACTATGACAAGATGGCAATTTGTGAAGTATGTGGTATAGCTGCTATAGCTGGTTTTGATTTTGAAGCCAACTTGAAGTCAACATGGATTTTGGCTACACCATGGGATGCTTGATATTTTTGAGTATGTTACATAGTTAGATTGGACAAAAACAACGACAGACATACCCTATGGTAAACTAACATAGCTTTGGAAGATCACCATTTTTCAATGGGTAAATCCACTATAAATGGCAAGTTTCAATAGCTATTTTGACATAACCAGAGGGTACCTAGGGGGGCACCACCTCATATTTTTCTTGGGGTCACCTGTTCGGAATCCCAAGGAGACGATGCCAAGACTACATACGGCAGAAGTCTTGGCAGGCGACGGAGGTGGTGGGTGTCAAAATTAGGCCCCCCCAGGTATGAGTTGGTATAAACCCCATGCAGATTATCATCCATTATCATCCCAATCACCATGTTCAGTGGATTATAAATGATCATATACCACCATATTCAATGGATTATAAATGATATATGATTTATACATTTATACACTGGTTGCTGGTTTGGAACATTTTTCCCATATGTTTGGGAATAATAAACCCAACTGACTAATATGTTTCAGAGGGGTTGAAACCACCAATCAGATTATCTATATTTTATGTGGGTAAAACAATAATATATCTATGTGGGTAAAGCAATAATAACACATTTCCCCAAAACACCATAAATATATAGGTGGGATTCAAACCATTCCCAAATGGGTGGTTTATGACATTGTTTTACCTACATTGGTTACTGTAGTTATAAGTTATAAGTCTCATAAACCATATTTATTGGAGTTATAAACTAACTTAGCTGTCTAGGGGGCCTCACTTTGTAGTACCCATCAACAGCCCAAAATATTACTAAGAATGGTGGTTCATAGCTCATAGTGCCACATAATTAACACTGATGATTTGGCTGGTCGGTGGTTTCAATGTTTCAATTACTCTTATCATCATTGAAATGGGATGAGAGATCTCCCAGGACTTGCACAGATTTTTCTGGAGGGCTGAACCGAACCACCATAGAATCAGTGATTATTATGTAATCCCGGAATTGAGAAAATTGTGCATGACCCCGCCCCCATTTACTGTATACACTTTAATAACTTAACATAGCCATGGAAAATCATGGGGCATCCCCCATTGTTTTAGAGGTAATTCATGGAACTAGCCATGGGCCATGTTCTGTTCATGGCTTCTCGTGCCCATCCCCGTGGTGGGTGGGGTTTCTCTCTCCAATTCCAATGTGAATTTCATGGATTCGCATTGTTCCTATGAACCAAATGGGCACCATAAATAGATGCTATGGCCCATTTTCAGGCACACCCGAAAAAATCTTGGTGATATACCTTGTGGAAACAGCTGACATATTAGACTGGATCACCAAATGTCACCCCCATGCTTCCCCAGATTTCATGGTTGATGGGGATATCCTCATGGCTGATGCAAGAATGTCGAGTACATTTGCTTGTTGTTGAAACTTGCTCAAGATTCTAGAAATCTTCAGTGTCAAGATGTCAAGTTAAGCTCTCCGAGAGCAAACCTGGTTGGTGGTTTGGAACATGTTTTAATTTTCATTAATTGTCCATATATTTGGAAGAATAATCCTTATTTTTCAGCCCCGAAACCACCAACCACTTCAACGTGCAAAAAAAACCGCTACAGCAATTCGCGGGTCAATTTCCCCATGAAATCCGGCGTAGTTAAGTTGTCATCCCGCAGGCCCTCCTCAAAATCATCCCCAATTTTCATATGCTGTGCTTGGTAAGTCCCAATGTTTCTGGGTTATAGTAACTCAGTAATCCCCCAAAACGATGGAACAATGATTTCTCCCCATTGGAACTTGTTTGCAACAAAATTTCCATACCCTTTGGTGATGTAAGAGTTTGCAGCTGGATAAATCCAACATGTTTAGTTGCTAAATCAGCGAACTAAATTGAAATGGGCAACTTGCATCCATATTTTCCATAGCGAACTGACCGATTTCTGTCAATATCCCATTACTGGTTGGTGGTTTGGAATAGTTTGGAACCTGATTCTTATGTGTCCATGATATATTGGGAACAATAATCCCAACTGACTTTCATATTTTCAGAGGGGTAGGTATACCACCAACCAGAGTGGATTGTAATCCCATTACCCTCTGGTAAACCAACATAACTATGGAAAATCACCATTTTTTATGGGTAATTCAACTATAAATGGCCATTTTCAATAGCTATGTTAAATTCCTAGAGGGTACATCCCATGAAAACTCCCCATGAAACCCTCATGAAGTTCCCAATAAAAGTCTTATCAAATCACCATGTTCAATGGATTATAAATGATATATGGTTTATACATTTATACACTGGTTGATGGTTTGGAACATTTTTCCCATATTTTGTGAATAATAATCCCAACTGACTTTCATATTTTTCAGAGGGTTTGAGTCCACCAACTAGATCCATGATTATTTTTTTCATGATTATAAACTTGATATGCATAATTCAAGATGATAAATGACTATAATTTATAAAGATGATACCCTCTGGTTATTTAACATAGCCATGGTATAGATGACCCATAGAAATAGATGGTTTACCGTTCTTAAAAATGGTGGATCTTTCCATGGCTATGCAACAAATTACCAGAGGGTAAATTACCATTAATCACCATTAATCATGGATAAATCACCATTAAATCACCATTTTCCTATGGTTTTCCCATGGTTTTTCATGATTTATCTGAGGATAAATGACTATAATCCCCATTTCTTCAGCGCCAGAAAGCCTCCCCTTTCCAGGCTCGGTGCCCATGCTGAAGGCCTTGGGCGAGCTGGAGATCTGCCAAGTCGTTGGGCTGAAAACCATGGTGAAACCACAGCGAAAACCATGACTTTTTGTTGGGTCAAAGGTGACAAACATGGTGGTTGATGGTGGTTTAACTAGTTTAAACATGTTTAAACGAATTATCAAGAAATGTGGTAAACGAACTATTTTAACTTAAACCATCTCATTTTTTCTAAATTGGCTGGCTTCGGCCATCCTTCCGCGTGTGGTCTAGTCTAGCTAGCATGGTTTCAACGGACGACAACCATGACATCGGGATGTGGGTCAAAATGGAAGACCGTTAAGGGGACCACAGATGCGAATGTCTAGTGACTAGTATTCACCATCCATAATTTTATGGGGTACCTAATGACTTGACCCATACCCATATATACATAAATGACCCCAATGACTGAGCAACCAAAAGCACCAAAACGAATAGACCCATTCCCAAAGCATGGTTTCGTTTGAGGGGTCAGTCAAAAACAGGACATGTTGTCAATCTTGTCATCCTTGGTTTGCGGATGCTGGGGAAAGAAATTGGATGGGCCCAAACTAATGCTGATTTTTTCTTCTGGGTATCTAAAGTTGGGCCGAAACTCATGTGGTAAAGCCAACAAAAGACATGGCCCATCTAGGTTCATAGCATTGGGTGTACCTCTATATTAGAATGATGATCTGGTTGGTGGTTTCAAACACTTTTTTTTCCACAATATATGGGACTAATAATCCCAACTGACTAATATGTTTCGAGATGGTTAAAACATGTTAAAACCACCAACCAGTGATGGATAATGTCTATATCTACCATGCCCTCCATCCATGTTGGGTTTATGGGATGGTGGCTTGTGGCTTTTTGAGGGGATCCCACATGAATTGATTTTCATGGGATAGACGACCAGTTGGTGGTTTTACCATAGGAAAACCATAGGAAAATGGTGGTTTAATGGGATTTAATGGGATTTAATGGCACTTACCCTTTGGTCAACTAACATAGCATGGAGAATCACTATTTTTAGGTACATCAACTACAGAAAAAAAAACGCACTCTTCAATAACGATGTTACATCAACCAGAGGGTATGTCCCGTTAAGTGGATTATCCCATAAAATCCCATTAAAAATAACCCTTAAAATCCGCATGAAATCCCATGTTAATCCCATTTTAATCCCCTTAAAATCACTCATTAGAATTCCATTAAACCATCATCCACCAAAGCTGGGTGCTGGTGTTGTTCGCCCGAGGCTCAGATCCACGCCTTGAGCTTGGGATTCTTCGCGTCCTTCGCCGCGCCCTTCGGAGGTTTCTTGTCCTCCGCCATCAAACGTGCCTACGGCATCAAGGATCCGCAGCGTGGGGAGGGAGATGGGGCTAATGAGGCTTTAGAGAAGAACATGTGTCAAAAACTATAGAATTTCAATAAATGAATATAAATGAATATGATTGTATATGTAAAAATGATATGTATATGTCTATGTGTATGTCAAAAGTGATTTTGGATCGGATCGGGATGATTTTTGGAAGGAAGA